ATGATTTTTAGTAAATGTATAAATATATTGGGAATTCTATAATTTTCTCCTTCAACTACAGATTCTATTCTTGTGCTATAATAAACCTTTTGTGGTAATTTAACCCTCTCTTTCTTTGTTGCCTATTTGCTTTAATTATGATGAGAGGAGTTGTTTTTCATTCTTCATGCTATTATAAAGAACATGAAACTAACAACAACAAAAAGTGAAAGTTGGCCATTTCTGTCATACATTTGCAAAACTTGCTAAAATTCTACTCAGCAGATTTTTTCAGATCTACTTATGTAGTGGGGGAATGTACAATTTAAGGGGAAACAAACTTTATTTAAATACAAAGAAACAAACTTCTGGGCAATAGGAGATTCTAATATACCTGGAAAATAGTAAAAGTGCACATTATTTCTTCTGTGTATTGTTGGCAAGTTATTTGGTATAAATATCACTGAACTCTGTTGTGTTGCAATTGTACAATTGGATGGCATCTCCTTAAGCAAAGCTATTTCTGCAGCTGAGAACAAATACAATTAAAAACAAAATGGACAAAACTCTAGCTATAAACATACATAACGATCTGAATGACTTACTGTAGCAGGGGATGCTCGTGTTGTGTGAGTAACAGAATGGCCAGAGTTTTCCATTGAATTGCCAATCAGGTAGGTACCTCCAGTGCTGCTGATGAGCTGTCCTCCTGTGACACCCATCTGAAGGCCTCCAGTGCCCACCATACTATGAGAAGAGACTACTGTGGTCACCTGCGCAGAACTTCCTTGGGTATCAAAGTAATTCCCCCCAGTGTTTTGGCTGTACATCTGAGTTTCTGTGTAAGGATACGTTGTTGTTCGTCTTAAGAAAAAGAAATGAAAGAAAAGGTTACTTATGTGTTCTCTATATGGTAGGGCATCAACATTTTCATTTAAGCTGTAATCAAATTACGCGTTATCTTACAGCATTCACTAAGATACAATCGAACTTTGAAATCTTACCTCATTTAATGTTTGTTCAGATTCATATCCTGCTTTTTCTCTAGGATTTAGCTTACAAAGAATTCTTACTTTCATCCATTACAAGAACAAAACTGAAAGGTAGATTCAAAAAGAATAACTAACTTGATGTCATCCATTGAAATTTCACTGAGACTAGAAAAGGTGCTTTTTCAAGAGGCAACTGGACTTTCTTGTTATTCTTTGAAGACAGAGCTGACGAAGCTTTTTGGATGAGAAGCAAAATGCCTTCAAAGAATAACCAGAAAGTCCAGTTGCCTCTTGATAAAGCACCTTTGGGACAACTATGACCTAGATGACTGAGAATCTCCATAGACACCAAGAGTAGAACTGAATGTCAGTCTCTCCATCTGTAGTCCCACACTTCAAACATTGAAAAAGTGATGAAATATTACCAGGCAGTTGAAAAAGCTAGCTTTTATTCCCAATAGGCTGAAATTACAAATTCTTTGCTAATACATGAACACAATATAATCATCCAATGTATTATAAGTGACATGACTTCAATGCTAGTAGCAGTCTGTATGAAGTCATTTTCAGATTTTCCTGATCAGTGCACAACATTGAGGACTTAGCAGGTGGAAACTAAATTCTTGTCGGTTGGGCTTGTTTACCTCTTCCTGAGGTTTAGCTGAACAGTCAGAGGCTGTTTAGCTGTCTAAGGCTATGGTTAATATTTTGTTTGTGCAAGATTAGAAACCTTTTGGAACAATCAGGTAGTGAAATTATCCCAGCTAAGCAATATGGCACTGCAAGGGTAAATCTGCTATATTTTCTGAAGTTTGAAGGGTGGTATGCACATGGCACACACCCACACACTGATTTATTCCCAGCTGACTCTCTTAAGTTCTATGTAAATGTCACGACAATGATCTGTCACCTTTTATAAATTAGTATTCCTGCCATCTCATCTTGCCTAAGCAAGTACCTGAGTTGAATGCGACCCTGAATTTTCTTTCATCTGATCATTCAGAAGGACTCATTTATCTGCAGCACACTGATCTTTGTCTGGAAGTTGCTATTTAGCTTAAAAACTATTTTACAGATAAATTTCATTCTAGCAAGGAAAGCCTCTTTCCTTTTTTTTTTTGGGGGGGGGGGGGCTAATATTCTCCACCTAAAAGCTCGTTAATTCCACACAGGTTAATTGCTAATAGATTTGAACTGAAAGAACCTTGATTTAAATACCTGTTCATTCTATATTTATTTTAAATTTCACTCTGCCAACCTAACATATCATTTAAAATATGATTTCAGTTACATATAAACTTTCTTCTAAACATACTGCTTGCAGATAATGCAATCTTATAATATTAATACATTTTGATAAATTTAAAACCACTAATGATATATTGAGGCAAATTTTCCTTTTGAATCAAGAGTTTTCATAAAATTAAACTCTGTTTCTTTCTCTCTTTCATTCACACTCATATATTTTTTTAAAGTAAGTCTTACAACCACTAACTGTTAAAGAGATGTTATGGATTTTTCCAGCTGACTGTTCTGGAAATGAAAACCATAACATCTCTTTACAAGATATTTCTTACTTGGAAGGGAGTTTATTATAAAAAGGGCAAAATGTACAGAAATGGCTGCACAAAGTCCTGTCCTTTATACATGCAATGTTGAAGCCCATACAAAAAGCTTTGTTCATGAGGCTACATCAACCATCCTGATGTAAAAAAAAAAAACCTCAATGGTCAAGATGCCATAAGGATCATCCTACAAAGGTGATCATCCTCATTACAGAAGCCCTGTGAAGTATGTTCAGCTAAGATACAATTATTGTCCCACAATCACTCTGTGAGTTTCTATGTCTAAGGATGTTCTGAACTTGGATCTCCTTTAGTCCAGAACCTTAATTGCTACACATACTTGACAGAAGGTCCTACTGTTCTGAATACCATGCTATTCATAACTTTTAGTTATGCATTTAAAAATAACTGTGTTTCTTTTGTACCAGGGTTAAGAACACAGCAGAGAAAGCTGTCAACAGAAGAAATAACAGAATGCAGTCAAAGACTGCTATTAGTGAAAGACAGCTGATTAATGAAATCATATTATGGGGGAAAACACTGATCATCTTTTCTGTATTCTATATAATTTCAGAGGAATAAGGATATAATATAGCTTAGAAAATCATTCAGAATTAGCAATATTTATACTTCAGATGGGATTTCATAGCTCAGAAGAAGAAAAAAAGATATTTCCAGATATTTCTGAAATGCAATCCAGATATTTCTGAAATGCAATCTCATTATACCTTACTGGGACTGGTGGAAGATGTAGCTCAGCAACAGCTAGAGTATAAATTTCCCCCTTCTTCTTATGGACAATTACACCAGAAGGCATAGATAATCACCCACTACTCTACACCCTTCTCCTCTGCCTCAATTTCATATGATATATTGCAGAGATGTTAATAAGATGAACCTGACATAAATGTGTACAGAGAAAAATATAAGTGCAATAAAGAAGATTGACACATTGCTATACAATGCTACATGTTGCGTAAGATCTTAACAATGCTGTTTAATTAAATCTTAGTTTTCTACATAGTACTTTTACCATTTCATAACGTGAAAATGTTTGCCTATCGATATCAATGTCCAAAGCATTTACTATGTTTATCTCATCATACCATATAATTCAAATTATAACTTAAATTTAATACATTATGTTATAAAAATGACAATCCCCCAAATCTCCCAAAAAACATTTTTCCTCATATCAAGGGCATTATCAGACTTCTTATACTCCAGCCTGGACATCTGTGATTGGCAGCATATTTCCAAGTTTTCCAGTCAACAACTTTTAATAATTTAGGCAGGTTTATTTAGAAATAAATTTTAAAAGAACTACGTAAAATTTAGTCACCAGAAATTGTGCTGAAAACTGCAACTTGGACCTTTTGCATGTAAACTTTCTATTGAACCATAGGCTATTAAAGCCCTTTTCCAGAAACAATTCTACTTAAATATGGAAATGTTGCAACAAGACTGGAGATATCAAAATTATTATAATCAAGGTACATATAGAAGTACTCAACTTACAACACTTCATCTAGTGACCCTTTGAGGTTACAACAGCACTGAAAAGAGTGACACAATCATTTTTCACACTTATGATCATTGCAACATTCCCATGGTCACGTGATTTACATTTGGATGCTTGACAACTGGCTCACATTTATGATGGTTGCAGTGTCCCGGCATTATGTGATCCCCTTTTACAACCTTCTGACAAGCAAAGTCAAAGAGGAAGCCAGATTCACTTAAAACTCGCTCAACAAATTTCTCACATAGCAACATAAACTTTGGGCTCAAGTGTGGTCAAACGTTGAGGACTATCTGTACATATTTTTATGATATGCAGAAAATTATATATTGTGTATTTTATTTTAATTAATATTATTTCAGTAAAGAATTAGTTCATTTATACTTCTGAAAATGAAAAGCGTTGATTTTAGATAAAATGGTTTCTAGCGAATGCTGAAGACTGTAGAAAAAAAAATCTGTTCAATTCTGTGTGTTATTGGGATGAAAATGTTTTATTTCCATAGATACCCAGACGTTTTACTCACATAGCTCCATTTGTGTAGACCGTGTCACTTCCCTCCACATACTGCACCTGGGCTGGATATACATGTTGCACTTGTTGCACAGTTTGTACTTGTTGAACCTATAAATAAAATAGACTATAAGACAAGCTTTGGGAGTGGGGAGGGGAGATTTCTAAATCTCATCTGTACGGTTTTAAAAGACTAGTGAGACATCATCAAACCGCACAGCAAATTTGCATCAAAAAATCTACAACATGATAACCAAGATGCTGTTTTTCTCACAGGCAGCATATATTTACTTTCACTGCTTTTCGGACTGCCTCCAGAGCTCCACATTCAACGGATAAAGGGACTCTATTATTTACCACATTATTAATCACATGTTTTAATTTCAGCTGGAAGGTCTCCATTATTACAAGAAGTTGGAATAATAACACATTTAAACTTACGGTGACTATAAACTGAGTTTTATTTTAAAGTGTTCAATAGCACAAGCTGTTGTTTATAACATTGGGTCTCACATGCTCCTTCCAGCATAATTTCCTTGGGCAAGATTGCCCCAGGACAGTCCCACAGAACCTGGCACAATGAAGTCATCTGTGCTGTTTAGCGCCATCTAATACTATGCTGTTTGACCAGATATTTCTAGTTTGAAGAATGAGTGGGACCTCTACCCATTTTTTGTTTATTTAGCTGTTGAGATAGCCCTGTTTCCCAGAAATTATTAATTTTACTGGAATATCCATGGCAAATGCACATGGACAGAATAATGATGCCACATGATGTTACTTACCCTGCAGTGACACAGGTGTATTTTAAAACATTTAACTAGTATTACAAAGGGCTCTTGGTAATATTTCATCTCTCTTGACAATCACATTCCCCTTATTATTTGTTATGTGATTTATGTACCATTGAAGTCAAAAGACATTTAATCATAATTATATCTTTCAGCTTTACCTGGAGCCAGAGTTTAAAATTATTCTATTTGCTAAGTCAGTTTCCAACAAATCATTAATGTGAAAGTAAATGCTAAACAATCATTCTCTGGATTGATCAGGAACTGCAATATAAAATCTTCAATATATGAATCACAAAATTGATTTTTTTAAAAATTGCCTGCAAATATCTTCAAACTCAAAAATTATAATCCATTATTTTATCTTCTCTTATTGGTTGAACATATCTAGGATTTTTTCTTTATTTGCACAATTTGGACAAAAATAATACAAGCAATTTCATAGCTTTTCATTATTTAGGAAACTAATTATGAAACATAAAAGGTTCAGTGTTGTACATTTAAAAAAACTGAACTGATAATAAGGTATTGTTTAGCTTATCTCTCACTAACTTAAAGCATCTTGAAATGTTGTACAACACATGATATAGGAGGCACTGTTCTCAACAATGACAAAGCACATTTTAAAACAAGAGCACAAGTCTTTGGGGTTTAAAATTTATGACAATCCCTTCTGGAACTCGGAAAGAACATCATAAGTACTTTTCTTTTTGTTCTCCAAATTAATGTACAGTTCAAATTAAAATGAGGAAGATCACCTGAATATCAAGTCATAGAAAAATTCACGTGGCTTTGCCTGTTTTCCTTTTTGGAATGGATCCAGTAGATCCAGAGGTGGTATTCAGCAGGTTCTGTTCTGGAGAACTGGTAGCGGAAATTTTGAGTAGTTCGAAAAACTGCTAAATACCACCTCTGACTGGCCCCACCCCCACCTATTCTCTGCCTCCCGAGTCTCAGCTGATTGGCTGGGTCTTCTTTTGTTGCCCTGCAAAGGAGAAAGGAGCTGGAAAGCAGGTTAATGGGGTGGGGAGGGAATGGGGATTTTGTAGTAACCTTCCCCCGGGGTGGGGAGGGAATGGAGATTTTACAGTATCCTTCCCCTGCCATGCCCACCAAGCCAAGCCACGCCCACAGAACCTGTAGTAAAAAAACTTGAATCCCATCACGGAGCAGACCCTTACTCACACAATCAAGTACACTGCCTTGGCCCGTGGCTGTTTTCTCCAACACCAAGCTTTGCAACTATTCTCAGTTTTTGTTAATTCTTTCTTCTCTTCTTGCAAAGTTAAAAACTACTACTACTATTCAGAATTTAAAAGGAAGAAAACTTATCCATTAAATAGTAAACCTAATGGAATGAATGAATGAGTGAGTGAGTGAGTGAGTGAATGAATGAATGAATGAATGAATGAATGAATTCTTTATTGGCCAAGTGTGATTAGACACACAAGGAATTTGTCGATGCATATGTCAGCTTTGGAAGCCATATTGAGATTCAATGCTCCCATGCTGCCACGATTGAGCCTGAGAAAGTAATGCATAGTTGAGCCTGATAGTAATACAGACTTAGTAAATAGTTGGACAGTGTTGTGGGAATTATTTGTTTAGCAGAGTGATGGCATTCAGGAGGAAACTGCTCTTGTGTCTAGTTGTTCTGATGTGCAGTGCTCTATAGCGTCATTTTGAGGGTAGGAGTTGAAACAGTTTATGTCCAGGATGTGAGGGGTCTGTAAATATTTTCACAGCCCTCTTTTTGACTTGTAATAGTGGTTTGTTGTATTCTGAAGGTCTTTCCATGTGGGCTATATTTGAAAGGAGTTATTTTCAGTAGTGGAGCTCATGTTCTGCAATGCCTCCTCAATCTAAATACTACATTGATTTTCTTTTAATGCCAGGCCAAAAAAAAAAAAAATGGTTATTTTTCCATAGGTTCTTCATTTTAATCTGCATTTATTCTGAAACTACTATTTTTTTATGTTGTCTTTCACTGTTGCCAAATCAAATCAAAACAAATTTTCTTACAATCCCTGACCAGAATACAGTCCAAATATTGGTTGTTAAAAATAAAATATACAGCTAAATATAATAGTCAATCTAAATGTGGACATACTGGCTGTTGTTTTTAGTATCTTAAGTTCAAATCAGTGGTGCTATGGAGTTATAATCTTTGTTGCTAAGAGACAACATTTGGCAACTAAAAAAGTGCCCTTAGACTTTGTCAGCTAAGAGGGATTGAATGTAAATGTCATTTATATAAAAAATAAATAAATGGAGGCTGAATTTAACTGGCTGAGAATGGGGGTAAAATTGACAGTGAAGTACTCATGGATATGTTCATTTAAATCTTATCTTGGAAACTTGCAAAATTTGCCTTATAAAACAGCTGATAATAGAGCATTAAATTGAGTTCTGGACAATGCTCAATTAACAGCAATAGGGATAGCACTTAGATTTATATACCACTTTATAGTGCTTTACAGCCCTCTCTAAGCGGATTTACAGAGTCAGCATATTGCCCCCAACAATCTGGGTCTTCATTTTATCCACCTTGAAAGGATGGAAGGCTGAGTCAACCTTGAGCCTGGTGGGATTTGAACTGCCAAATTACAGGCAGCCAATAGTCAGAGTTGGTTAGCAGAAGTGGCCTGCAGTACAGCACTTTAACCACTGCGCCACCGAGGCTCCTAATATTTGGGATGATCAGCAAATGGAGGGAAGTTGTCAGACCTGAGCTTTGGAAATGGCTGATACTCATAATTTTTAGAATTTTCACCAGTCTATGACTCTATGTTCCACACTCTATGTTTAATCACCACTTTAGCATTACCTAATCCTAGAGATAAGAAATACTCAGCTAAAAGTCCCAGGAATATAATATATACATAATAGGAAGAATAGAACAACAACAGATAGCATATGCCATTTCTGCAAAAAAGCTAAAGAAACAGTGCAGCACCTAGTTAGTTGTTGCAAGAATATTGCCCAGGCTAATTACAAACAACAGCATGTCAAAGTAGCAACAATGGAAGATCTACAAGAAATACTATTTGCCTGCAAAACAAAAGCTAAAATAAAATAAAATAGTTATAAAATAGTTAAAATAAGAGAAAATGAAGAAGCTACATTGCTCTGGAACTTTAGAATTCAAACAGACACACATCTGCCACATAACACTCCAAACTTAAAAATAATATCAATAAGAAAGAGAAAGGAAATAGTGGACCTGACAGAACTGCAAAGACTGCAAAATAGAAGAGAAGTAGAGAAAATTACAAAATACAAAAACCTGCCAATAGAAATAAAATAAATGTGGCAAAAGAAAGCAAAAGAAAGCAAAGGTCCACGAGTAACAGCTGCTTTGAATTATGACGATATCTTTAACACTATCAAATAACATCTGCCTACCCAAGTTCTTGGGAAAGACTTGATAGGTTTAAAAAATGTCAAATCCAATGTAAACATCGGGGGGGGGGAGGGGAGAAGAGGGAGGAGGGAGAAGGAGAGAAGAAAGCTAGTGAAAAATCACTCTAGCTGAATATAAACAACGTAACACAGTCACCTAAATCATTCACTAGAACCGTGATGGCGGACCTATGGTACGCATGCCGGAAGGGCAAGGAGAGCCACTTCTGCCGGCATGCGAGAGGTCGCCCGGGAGAGCCCCACTGCGCACGCACCCCCCACCAGCCAATTGTGAGGTATTTGCCATGCATGTGCATGGTAAGACGTGCGCATGGGACAAGCACGCATGCACAGAGGCATGCGGCATGCAGGGGATTGTGGGCGCATGTGCAGAGGCATGCTGTGTGGGGGTCATGTGCGCATACACAGAGGTGCGTGATGCGTGCCCAGGGGGTCATGCACGCATGCACAGGGGGCGGGGGAGTCACATGCAAATTGCATCATGGGTACAGGCACACAAGTGCACACACGCACGCGCACTTTTCACACTCAACGTGGAAAAGGTTAGCCATCACTGCACTAGAATATCTGTAAAAATTATTGCGTACTAGTAACAAAAAATTGGTGGGAACATACGAGTTGAAAAGTAGTCAAAAATGAGTTGGTTAAATTACTGTGGGATTTATAAATACAAACTAACAAAGACTTGATTCATAATACATCAGATTGAATTGTGGTTGCAAAAAAGATAGTGTGAATAATTGACATGGTAATATCGGAGAACAGCAGAGAACTGGAAAAGATCAATATCTGAAAATCAAAGTCTAAAGATTATGCCATAAACTAGATGAGATGGGTCTGGTGGTGCTGCACATTGACCAAATTTCTATCTGTCAATTACAAAAGGCCACACTGCTT